ATGTTGTGTTACATCTGTAATTAGTTGTACATTTAGCGTAAGATTGTAACCCATGTAAAATTTAATATGTAAGGAATGTTACAACTGTTGATGAACCTAAATAAAAAAAAAAAAAAAAAAAATTAAGGTCAGGACTTATATTAAATAGTTGATTATTTAAGGAATTGATTTTACTCTGTAGATCTTTGAAATTGGCATATTGCAGAAACGAATGGTAGCTGGATATAATATTAGTGGGGCCTAATTTAAATGGTAATATACCGGGTCCATCATCCAGATTCTCAAGTTTTATTTCCTGCGTTAGAGCTGGTTGCAGGAAAAGATGTAGGGCCAAGAGGATCCTGCAACAATTGGGCGCTTTTAGGTATCCGTTTTAGTCGAGATTTAGCGACAGGGCCACGTTTCTTCCTAGTATATATATGAATAGGTAGATCCGCCATAACAACATCCTTAGTATAGCGAGGAGCAAGTTTTTGACGGGACGCAAGTGAGTTCTGTACAAAAACCTGTTGCTCGGGGAATACTCAACTTCATGTTCACGACCCTTATTTCGATTGTCTGTTAATTCCTGACGACATGAGGTACCAGATTCGTGAATTAAATTATATACTTTACACATCTTATCTCGGTGATTAGTTATATACTGTTGTAATAGATGTGCTGAGAGATCTATATCAAGGGGATCCCGGGGATCAAAGTGGCCTGTTACCACTTCAATCGGTCTACATTTAGTGAAGCTGTGTATGGTGTTATTATAAGCCAGAAGGGCGTACGGCATTAGGTTTATTACTGATTCGGATTTCTTATCAATTTTTAGGATTCGAAGATGTTCTAAAATGGTTGAATGGAATCACTCAACGATTCTGTTTTCGTTAGGAGCATGAGGTGCGACACGATGATGTTGTATCTTATGTAACCTCGTGAATTCGGCAAAGAGTTGGTTACTAAATTCGGGGCCATTATCCGTTACTAAAGTTGTAGGTATTAAATGATGAGTGCAGTATCTTAATAATGCTTGTATTACGCTGAGAGCTGTTCCGTCTCTCAGGTAGTAGGCCTGTGCATATTTGGAAAAAGCATCTACAATAGTTAAGAATTTCTCATTTTGAATCGTTAATAAATCTAAATGAACCAACTCGAATGGCTTAGTTGCTGGAGGAACTATACGGTACTGTTGTTTAATGGGGTTGCGATCATATTTAGCTTGACCGCAAACCGTGCATTCGTTAATAAGTTTCACTATGTGCTCCCGCATTTTAGGCCAATAATACTTATGAGATAATGTTAGATAGGTTTCGTTAATGCCGCGATGGTTGGTTTTACCATCATGGTATTATTGATTATGTCTCGTTGCCTTAGGTATTCCCTAACATTTTCTAATTCACTTTTAGAAATCATAAGGTTCATAGCCGAATTTTTAAATGTTTTTTGTATAATTGGGACTATTACGTACATAGCTTCAGGTGGGTTGATAAAAAGGCCTGTCTTAATTTTTGGGTGAACATATTCTTTGATGGCCTTAATCACATCTTCTTCTAAGCTAGATTCCGATAATTGAACGGAAATACGCGTGTGCGTTTCGAAGGGTTTTGTTATTACAGGACGTCCTTTGATATCTCCTACAACATTTAAAATTAATTGTTTAGTGAATTTATTCAAGGCGTCGTCTGTAATGGGGATCTCTAGTATAGGATTCTCTTCTTCCGTGGGTACCGTAATGGTTCTAGAATCGTCAGCTTCCGGGACTGTGACGGTTCTGGAATCATCTAGAGAGGGAGCGTCTTCTGAAGGGTTCACAATTATGGAGCTTATTTCGTCATTATTAATTTCAATACGCGACAGAGCGTCGGCGTTAGTATTGGCTTTGCCCTGTTTATAGACTATTGTGAAGTCATACTCGCTTAGCTTCAATCGCCATCTCGTAAGACGAGAATTCGGTTCCTTTAAATTCATTATCCACAGCAAAGGTTTCTGGTCTGTTAAAATTTTGAATTTACGGCCAAACAAGTAGGGTCTAAAATACTTTGTAGCCCAAACTATAGCCAGAAGCTCCTTCTCTATAGTACTGTAGTTAAGCTCGCTTGAATTTAAAGTACTAGATGCATAGGCAATAGGTTTATCGGAGCCTATGGTTCCCTGAGATAAAACAGCCCCGATTGCTACATTTGAAGCATCGGTTGTTAGTAAAAATTCTTTCGAAAGATCTGGATATTGTAGAATCGGATCATTGGTTAATAGAGTTTTACAATGTTCGAAAGAACTGATATAATTTTGATCAAAAGTTATTTTAGAGCCTTTTTTTAAACACTGAGTAAGTGGTTTAGTCAGTTTAGCGAAATTCGGAATGAATTTTCGATAGTATCCTAGTAGACCGAGAAAACGTTTGATCTCTGTGGTCGTTTTGGGCAGTGGATATTTTTCTATGGCTGCAATTTTACTAGGGTTCGGCATAACGCCGTCTTTACAAATCACATGTCCCAGGAAATCGGTTTCCCACTTTAAAAATTCAGATTTGTCCATCTGTATTTTAAAGTTGGATTCCCTTAGTCTTTTAAACACTTTTTCGAGATTTGTTATATGTTCCTGCAGTGATGTACTATACACAATGATGTCGTCGAGGTAAACTAGACAGACTTCATTCTGGAGGCCCTTCAAGATATTGTCCGTCACCCTTTGAAAGGTTGATGGAGAATTCTTCAAACCCATGGGCATCCTTAGGAACTCATAATGCCCGTTTTCCACGTTAAATGCGGTTTTGGGTACATCTGCAGGATCCATTTCTACTTGGTAAAATCCACTGGCCAAATCGAGAGTGGTAAAATACTGACATTTGCCCAGTTTATCCAGGACATCCGTTATATTTGGAATTGGATACTTGTCGTCAACCGTTTTCTCGTTTACTTTCCTGAAGTCCACGACAAGGCGCCACTTAACTTTACCGGAAGCGTCAGCCTTTTTGGGGACTATCCAAATAGGAGAGCTCCACGCAGATTCCGAAGGTCTAATTATATTTTGTGAAAGCATTTTTTCAATTTGGTCTCGAACCTCTTGTCGGTGGACGTAAGGATAGCGGTAACTTTTGGTGTGGACCGGAATTTCATCAGTAGTTCTTATCTTATGTTTTATCTTGTTGGTAAAAGTCAATGGCTCACCCTCAAGATAAAACACATCTGCGTAATTTGCACATAGCCTCTGTAAATTAACTAGTTCTTCGGCATTTAGGTGTTCTGTGCGAAGACGCGATAAAACTTCTTTAGCACGCTCAGATGAAATTTCGTTACACTCAAATTCCATGTTAAATAACTCTGCGGATACAGGGCGATCCATGGAGAATATGACATCGTTAGGAGAAGCATTAGTGATTTCTACCCAACCTCGGTTATTTTTAACTTGAGTTAAACACTCTGAAATTAGGCAATTGCATATGGTCTGGTTATTCACGAGTACCTCTCCGTCTTGGCTGTTTATAGGTAGGCGAACTAATTTGGAAGTATTAGCTGGGATAATCTCTTCGTATATATTAGCATTATAAGAATCGTACATTTCTATTGGTATCTTGGCACTACGAGTAGCGAGAAATTTATTTTTTAAATCAATATTAGAGTCCCACGCGTCGAGCAAATCAAAACCTATCAGTCCGTCGAAGTATTTATGAAAATCATATACATACAATGTTATTACTCCAGGTTCTCTAAACTCTGGAAAATATGGCAAAGTGATCGAATGGTCATTTTTACTAGTAGCATGAACATTGGTGACTTGAAAGGGTTCATAGTTTAGTGGTATATGACTGAAATATTTTTCTGCAGCCTGTGGGCTAATAAAGGATTGATTGGCTCCCGTGTCGATAAGGAATTTCAGTGGGGGATCGTTTATTTGAATATAGCCAAGCTGCTTCTGTATATGGAAATTAACCTCTATTTTAGTGTGTCGGACGGGGACATTTTGTGAAAATTTTCCTCCTCGGATGAAGGAGGTTTCTGGACTACCTCTTCAGCTACGGGATTCTCAGACCATTGTTCATAGGTGTTATTATAATCGGAATACTGCTCACAATTATTGTAGTCAGTATGACAGTAATCAATGTGGCCATAGTCATAGTCGTAATATGGATTATAATCACAGTCAATCTCATTAAAATTTACTTCATGTGTTTTGAAGTAGTTGCTAGGAGGCTGGTTTCCAAATTTTCGCCAGTCGTATCCCGCTGGGGGCAACGCCTTCGGAACAAAATGGCTAACGCCGCTCATTGGACGCGGAGCTCCGAATCTATAAGTTTGTTGAGGTTGATATCTATTATGCATCCTAAAAACGTTGCTCTGCGGGTTGTAATTTGGTGGAGGCGCCCGGAACATTTGCTGAGTACGAGTTGGGTCACGGGGAGGCTGATTATGTTGCCAATTTGGCTGCCATGCTTGATTAAATTGAGATTGCATGAATTGGGGCTTGGACGGACCAGGTGTATTCATTATTGGCTGTTTGGATGGGCCAGGCATGTTGAAGATAGGCATTTTTTGACTGAAGTTATTTAGAGGCAAATTAAAATTATTTTGAGAAGTCTGAGGTGGATGTTCTTTTCTACTAGGTCCTTCATTACGCTGTTGCATATAAAGTGTGTTAAGTTCCTCCTGCACAAACTCTAAAGCCTGTTCTACGGTCGCGGGGCGCATGCATCTAACCCTACACCCTAACGGGTCCTTCAATCCGCGTAGATATGCCTGTAAAGTCAATTTTTTATAAAGGGTGCGCTTAGCTTCAATTGTAGTGTCTACGCTTTCGTGGAGGCTGACATACAAGGTCCGTCCCAAAAGTATCGAACATTTTTTTTGGGAGTGTTGCCGAACGGCGGGAAGCGCTCCGCTTGACAACAGAAAGTGGTGGGGGGATCTAGCCGATACAGCGCGACCGGTCCCAGTTGGCTCCGAGCACCTGGAGCGGCAGGACGTGCGTTCGCGTAGAGCTCTAAACGACACCTCGTCGAAGTTTTTAAAAGTAGCGCGATGACGGATCCGTTAGAACAGAGGTACGCAGTGAAATTTTGTGTTCTACTCGGCAAAAATACTGTGGAAACCAACGAGATGATTAAACAGGCCTTCAAGGACAAAGCCTTGTCCGAATCCTCGGTCAGGAAGTGGCACAAGATGTTCCGTGACGGAAGGGAAGAGGTGACCGACGAAGCCCGCTCTGGTCGCCCTTCAACATCGCGGACCGACGAGAACGTTGACCGTGTGCGTCAGCAGGCCAGGCCAAAGCAGGAGTCCCGCTGGTCCCGCAGCCTCCCTACAGTCCTGACGTCGCCCCGGCAGACTTCTTCTTGTTTCCCAGCATCAAGTCGAAGCTCAAAGGCAAGCATTGGGGCACAATTAAGGACATCCAAGAAGCTACGACGAGGGCGCTGAAGGACCTACCCGTTGACGTCTTCCAGGGGGCCTTCCGGGCATGGAAAACTCGCCTACAAAAGTGCATCGATGCTGAAGGGTGTTATTTTGAAGAGTACTAATGTATGGTACCGATAAGTTCAATAAAAGTATTTTTCCTGAAAAATGTTCGATACTTTTGGGACGGACCAGATATGTCATTATGATACTGTATAAATTTTGGCACCGTTCATAGAACTCCTGTGGGCTGTTCGACCCTTGGGTCTGCATAGATAAATCATTATATAGTGCAGTTTCATCACGATGGTCAGCGAAATTATTTATTAAAGCATTTCGTATACCATTCCAACTTTCCGGAAGCCCACTAGAATTAATGAGTCTGGACGCAGGGCCCGTGATTTTATTCAATATGCCATTAATAATGGCTAAATTTTTTAATTCATTCCCTGGAGTCGTTTTAAAATGCGCGATAACCAGTTGGTCGCATATGTTAATAAATCGTGTTAAAACGTGAGGATTGCCATCAAATTCGGGCACTAGTCTCAAGGATTTAAAGATAATGTCTAGATCGTCAGCCATCACCAATTTTTCGGTTTCCCGGTTATCTACGGATATACGTCTATTCGCGTCCACCCAACTATTCCTATTATTTCTTAAACTACTATTTCGTGAAGCCTTCGGGTGAAAAATATTGAAAATTTACGTTAACACTACTAAAAAAAATGTTTACACAAAAACTTATAGATACGGAATAAAATAAGAATAAAGGAAAGAACACTAGGAAATAAAGGAAGCAAGAACTTGAAAGATTCAAGGTACTTACAACATAATATCTGGTGTCTTTTTCTGGTTGAATCGATGTCTGGATTCTCTTCTGCTGCAACCCGTTGTAGGTTCGAGTACCCGGAACGCGACTTGATAGCCTGCTCGGGCGGCTTAGGGGTGTAACAGTGCGATAATTTTACTCTAAATACCCAATACCGACCCGTGGGTATCCTACCGACTGCGCCAATTATGTGGTTTTGCAGCGGAAGATCCAAAAAAAATCAATTTTATTTAATAACGTATAATTAAAATTACAATACAATAAAAATATGAGACTCGACCGATGGTAGGTACAAGAATGAATTTTATTAATTTTAAAATAGCCACGATGAGGTAATTGATGTCATCAGCCGGTCACGTTATGCTGCATCGGCGCCTCGTGCAATGGGTCGTTGTCCATACTGAATTGGGGCGGTGCTTACTCGACGTATTACTTGTATTAGGGTTGGGTAACACACTTGCATAATATCATTGAAAAATAACAATAATAAAAAAAATCATTTTTAACCCTATTTTGACAATTATGTATTTTGCAGAGACCACATGCTTATAATGGTAATGTAGTTATATTTTGAACAATGGTTTTGTTTTCGGTCTAAATCTATTATATTATAATACAAGTACTCGTAGCAAAACATTGACAATCCTTATCAGTTATTAATATAATATATAATAAACGCGTAAGATCATTAAATTGTTATTATTTTTCAAGTTGATGAGTTTTATTCATAAAATTTTTAAATATAAGCTTATTATTTAATATAAATTGAACTATGTAATTATTTAATTTTATCTCAATTCATTTATTCATGAACATTATAAATATTGATAACATTAACTCATGGCCGCACCGGAGAAACCCCACCGATCAGGAGGCTTCACTGTCCTGCCGAAACGAGTACAATAATAACTATTAGAATTAACGGTATTATCAGCTGATTGTCGTCATAATGACAGTACATCAATGACTCACAGGGGCTATTATCAATTATCTAATGCTTTCTGTTGCGTCTTAATGTATTTCCCGTGTTATTAATGGTAACAAAATAAGACCGGGGATTCTTGACACCTATGACCTTGCCTGGAACCCACTTATTGTCTATTCTAACTCTAACTTTCTGTCCTTTAGACAAAGGATTTAAATTTCTCGATCTTTTATCATAGTAATGTTTTTGTTGTTGCTGACGAATTTTTAATTTATAATAAGTATTTTATTTTACATTGGGTGATAACAAAGTAGGTGTGCATGGAAGTATACTACGTAATTTCCTATTGTATAACAATTCTGCCGGTGAAGCTATGTCATTACTTATTGGAGTATTCAAATATTCTAACATTGCTAAATCAAAATCCGTGTGATCATATGACGTCTTTCTTAACATATTTTTTATGGTTTGTACCGCTCGCTCCACCTGACCATTAGATTGAGGATACCTCGGAGATGATGTTACATGTTGAAACTTCCATTGCTGAGCGAATTCATAAAAACTATTCGAAGAAAATTCTGGGCCATTGTCAGATATTACCAATTCTGGAATCCCTAGTCTACTAAAAATACCTTTCAAGTTTTTAATGACATTTTGTGACGTTATTGATTGCAATTTTGATATCTCAATAAATTTGCTAAAATAATCCACTATTATCAAATAACAGTGTTGTCCGAAATGAAAAACATGTACATCCACTTTACACCAGGCTCTGTTAGGTATTTCATGCGGTATTAACAACTCCTTTGTATTTTGTCTTTTGTACGTCATGCACGCCTGACACTGTGATAAGAAATCCTGCAACTGTGAATTCATAGTGGGCCAAAACATTATTTCGCGAGCTCTGAGTTTGCGTTTTTCGATGCCAAAATGCCCAATATGAATGTTTTTTATCATTTCATATCGCATGCATTCCGGTACTACTCTATTCCCCTTCCAGATAATGCCAAAATGAACCGTCCTTGAAAACTCATCCTTGCTATCCCAAAAACACTTTAATCTATCACTCACTTTACACTTTTCTGTCGGCCATCCACGTTTTATCACTTTCACCAATTCTTGCAGTTCGTCATCATTTTTTGTGCATTTTTGAATTGCAATGAAATGCGAATCGGTCAATGGATTGACCGCAGTAAGTACACATACTTGCGCCTGCGCTTCGAGATGATCTCGGGGCTGTGACGGTGTGCACATGTTAGGAGCGACCGAGCGAGACAGAGTGTCCGCAATATATAAATATTTACCTGGTTTGTACACAAGTTTGAAAGAATAGGGTTGTAATCGTATTAACATCCGCTGCAAACCCGCGGGTGCGCTGGCAAGAGGTTTGTTTATTATGCTGACCAATGGCTTATCATCGGTTTCGATTAGTATGTCTGAACGCCCGTATATGTATGTGTAAAATCTTTCACACGCAAACACACATACATACAATTCCTTCTCAATCTGTGCGTAAGATTGCTCCGTCTTTGTAAGTGATTTTGAGGCGTAGCAAACAGGCAAATTATTTTGTATTAAGCAAGCACCTAACCCATTCCTACTGGCGTCTATTGAAATGACAACTGGTTTATTTAAATCGTAATATTTCAATATGGGCGGGCTGATCAAAAACTGTTTAATACTATTGAAACATTGTTCATGTCTTTCCTCCCAGTGCCACGCAATTCCTTTTTTTAACAATTCACCCAATGCAGATGTTCTATCCGACAAATTTGGAACAAACGTACTTATTTATACGTCACCAAACCTAAAAACCTTTCAACATCTTTCACACTTTGTGGCCTTGGCATATTTTTTATTGCAATCAGATGAGAATCATCAAGGAAAATTCCATTTTTAGTTATTTTATGACCTAGATATTTTATTTCGGTTAAACCTACTTTGCACTTCTCTCTGTTCAGTTTAATATTAATTTCTCGACATCTTTTTAATACAGTTCTTAACCTTTCATGATGAATTCTCTTCGTTGGCCCGTATACAAGCAAATCGTCGACAAATAGAACAACACCTTCTATGTCATCAAAGTTTTCATATAAACGCTTATGAAAAATTTCAGATGCCGAAGATATGCCATACGGCATTCTTAAAAACTTAAACCTGCCAAGACCGGTATCAAATGTACACAAGTCGGTAGAATGCAATTTTACTTGCCAAAATCCTTGTTTAGCATCTAAAGTGCTGAAATATTTGGCACCTGAAAGTTTGGCAGTGATTTCTTCAAAAGAAGGTAATTTGAAATGTTCTCGTTTTATAGCTCTATTTAGATCACGAGGATCAAGACATATTCGTAATTCTCCATTAGGTTTTACTACTAACATACTATTCACCCAATCTGTTGGGCCTTCAACCTTTGCGATAATACCGTCACGTTGCATTTCCAATAATTTATTTTTGACTTGGAATTTTCTAGGTGCATGTGTGACTGGTATTACACCGTCTTTTAACTGTATTTTGTAATCGCCCGGAAGGCATTCCATGCCAGTGAATACATCAGAAAATTCATCTAAAATATTTTCGCTACTGTAACTCGGAGTACCTGACATGATTCTTTTTATTAATTGCAATTCTTCACACGATTCTCTCCCTAACACAGGTGGTGACCCTACATAAACAACAATAAATTTCAAAAAATATGTATTATTTTTGAATGACACCTACCGCTACCTGAATAACCCCGTAATTTCATTGATGTACTGGTAAGATTGATAGGTTAACTCTATATAAAACGTTTTTCGGTAAAACATTTACATCGGCTCCAGTGTCCAATTTGAAATTAATTATTACATTATTTATTTTCAAGTCTGCCAACCAATCGCCTTTTGAGCTATTAATGTGGTATATTACCTGATCGGTGGAATCCTCCTCCACTGCATAAACTCGATCTCCCCTACACATTCTCGCGAAATGGTTCATGCGATTACACTTCATACACTCGGGGTATTGTTTTTAATAAGGTAAATGCAGATATGGCCGTTAGCGATCTGGTGAGTGATTTGTCCTCAATTGTTGCATTTAACTCTAAGACAGTAGAGGTTTCTAGTAGGAAACGAATAGTCAATCCCTGGATCACATCAGGGTGCATTCGAAAAAGAGATAAGCTTTATCGCAAATAAAAATCAACATCCTAATAATGAGATTTTTATCATTACATACAAGAGGTGTCGCAATTACTGTAACAACGTGTTTACGAACGTAGTGAATTTAAGAAACATAAAAATAACCCAAAGGAGACATGGAAACTTATTAAAAATATGACAAATTTGAATACTTGTACATCAACATCCGGTGAACTCTTATCTATAAATACTAAT